CCCTCCAGCTGCAGAATTTGACAGAGCTTTCAAAAGGTTCCTGCTAGTGTCATTGTCATCTCACGGAGTCAGGAATTTAAGTTCCACATGGAACATGAGAAAGAGATTTTGAGGTTACAGGGACCTTCCAGCATTTCACAAAAATGTCTCAGTGTTGAGACCACGATATCATAGAATCATAGAATTGTCAGGGTTGGAAGAGAGCTTAAAGATCATCTAGTTCCAACCCCCTTGCCATGGGCAGGGACATCCCCCACTAGCTCAGGCTTCTCAGAGCCCCATCCAGCCTGGCCTTAAAAACTTCCAGGGACAGGGCTTCCACTACCTCTCTGGGCAACCTGTGCCAGTGTCTCACCACCCTCATGGGGAAGAACTTCTTCCTAATGCTCAATCTGAACTGACCCATCTCTAGCTTTAAGCTGTTTCCTCTAGTCCTATCACTACCTGACATCCTAAAAAGTCCCTCCCCAGCTTTCTTGTAGCCCCCTTAAGATACTGGAAGCCACAATAAAGTGTCCTGGAAGCCTTCTTTTCTCCAGACTGAACAACCCCAACTCTCTCAGTCTGTCTTCATAGGAGAGCTGCTCCAGCCCTCTGAGCATCCTTGTGGTCCTTCTCTGGACACGCTCTACTGGACAGGCTCCAGCATGTCCAGATCCTTCTTGTAGTAGGGGCTCCAGAACTGGACACAGCACTCCAGGTGGGGCCTTACAAGAGTGGAGTAGAGGGGGAGAATCCCATCCCTTGCCCTGCTGGCCACACACCTCTTGATGCAGCCCAGGACACGATTGGCTTTCTGGGCTGCAGGTGCCACTGACGGCTCATGTAGAACTTCTCGTCCACCAGTACCCCCAAGTCCTTTTCTCCAGGGCTGCTCTCAAGCCAGTCCCTGCCCAGCCTATATCGGTGCTCAGGATTGCCCTGACCCAGATGGAGGACCTTGCACTTGGTCTTGTTGAACTTCATGAGGGTGGCCTGGGCCCACCTCTTCAGTTTGTCGTGTTCCCTCTGGATGGCATCCCTGCCCTCCAGGGTGTCAGCCACCCCACACAGCTTGGTGTCATTGGCAGACTTGCTGAGGATGCACACAATGCCAGTGTCAATGTCACTGACAAAGATGTTAAAAAAGACTGGTCCCAGTACTGATCCTTGAGGGACTCCACTTCTGACTGGCTTCCACTTGGACATGGACCCATCGACAGCCACTCTTTGGAGGCGGCCATCAAACCAGTTCTTTATCCACTGAATTGTCCATCCATCAAACCCATATTTTATCAGCTTGGAGACCAGGATGTCGTGTGGGACAGTGTCAAATGCTTTGCTCAGGTCAAAGTAAATTATGTCAATTGCTCTTCTCTTGTCTTTTGACCTTGCGATATTGATTGACAGGACTCAGAACTTTTGATCTGAGGCCTAGAGGACAGGGTAAAAATGTGGAATGGAGGCACAGACTGCACCCTGAAAAGATGCTGAGGTTGTACTTCACAATTTGTTGAGATACAGATTTGCTGAGTTGCCCTAAGGGGCAGAAGGTCTGAGGCAAGTGAGAGCTGGAAGGAGGCTTCTGGGAAGCAAGGCCTGATGGAACCAGATGTAGCCAAATCTGAAAATATTTAAGGGAAAGTGAGAGGCAAGAGACAAACATAAAGAATGGAGAGATTTCCTGGGATGTTGCTCTGAGATCAGCAAGAACTGTTACAATTTGAGGACTATGGCTCAATTTCTCCTGTCATCTGACATGCTGAAGGCCTAACGTATGTGTAGATGTCTGTTGTGACCCTTTGAAGAAAGATCTATTTCTCTTGCCTCTTGGAGGGTAAGCTTCATCATCCTTTTCTATCTGGGAAAGGGTTTACCAGCCTCAGGGCCCTCCACAGTTCTCAGAGCCTCCCCCTACACCTTAAGCAGGTGCAAGCACTTCCATGAGAGCATTCCTATGATTGCTGTTATCGTTACCTGGATCATTATTCACCCCATTGTGAAGGTTTTTTGGAGCAAACTCCATATTAGACTTAACCAAAATGAACTTTTTTTTTTTTTAAAAAAAAAAGTGTCTGCTGTGGTTGTTGTATGGGATGACCCTGGAGTTATTCTGGAAAGAGGTGGCACTGCCCACCCCCCACCTATTTGTCTACCCTTTCAGCTCTGGGACACCCCACTCCCCAGAGTGCAGAATTCTAGTGAGTGCCGATGAGCTTGTTGGGTATGTGTCGGGGTGACCCACTGTTCCCTGCTGACACCTAACCCCTTCATCCTACAGAATATGTTGTCTTACCACTTCAGGGTTTGAGGCATCCCACAGCCCTGCTGGAACCACTGGCCATTCCTCTCTCACTCTGTAGGTTACCACACCCAGAAAAAGACACGACCAGAGGCCGTGGAGTGCTACACAACAAGATTCATCTCCTATTTCTGTGGATTTGGGGTAGAAGCATTGTTCCCAGGCAGCTGAGAAAGGACAGGGGAGAAACAGAAAATAGAGGAGACTTCAGTTCCCAGAAGAAATAACATCCCCAGAGAGCTGAGGATGCCAGGGGAAGAAAGCCCTGACCTCCCAAATGGACCAGCAGTAGATGTGCAGAAGAGCAGGTGATTCAAGCTGAGGAGGTGAGGACTCCACTGTGAGCTGAGAGGAGCAGCCCCTTCCCATGACTGGAGCCCCTCACTATGGAAGGGTTGAGAATGTCATTGGCTGGAGGAGCCACAGGTGTTGCTGTGGGAGGAAAGAGAAAGCCAGAAGGAGCATTTGAAACACAGGAAGAACAGATTATTTTTCCTCCCTACTTCCTCCTTTCCTCCCCCAACAGAGTCGTTTCTGGCAGCTCTACTATCTCAGGGCTGAGAGGCGCTTTTCAGACTCTCTCTCACTCAACAGACAGCTTGGTCTCAACATGCACCTCAGACATCTCATCCTCCCTGTCTTCCTGGGGCAACTGCTGGGTAAGTCCTGCCTTTTCACCAGTGCATCCCTTTTCTTCCTCCCAGGAAACCTTCACCAACCTTATCAGGTCCACACAGGGAAATGCTCTCGAACAGTAGAAAAATAACACTGGGAAGTGTTGACATACATTGTGGTTTTGCACGCGTTCTCTTAAGGCTCTCTTACTCTTGGGAATGAAAGGAGAAGAGAGAGAAGAGATACTTCAGACCCTTTCTCTTGTTTTTCTCTCCCGTTCAGTCTCTCGTTGTCTACCTCTCCTGATCTACCTGCTGCCACCACAGCAGATCTCAGCTGTCTTTGTAGTCCTTATTCATCCCCCAAAAGAGCAAATCCTCTCGAAATGTACTACAGGCATTTTAAAACTCTAGCTCACATTAACATGAATAAGATGCCTGAGGCTGTGGCATTCCAACTGGAAATGCCAGCCTTGGCTTCCAGTTTCCTCCTGGGTGGCAACACAGTCACGGATACCTCTTTCCAACCTGTGCTTTGAGTGTACTCAAGGAGCGAGAAGCCCTCAGAGGTGATGGGGAGTGGGAAGTAGGATGAATCTTTTCGCCCTAGCTCTATGTGCCCTCAACCTGCTGGAGGCATGCTGGTCGCAGCACGCAAATTTCAGTCATGAGAATCTGTCCCTGGTCCTATGGGCAGTAGGAGAAAGAGAAGGGAAGAGGAGAAGTAGGAACACAGCACAGCTCTCCTCAGGATCCATGCTGAGATGGAACCTCTGTTATCCTACCCAAAAATACTCTTTCTCTGGCTATAACTAAGCTTCAGGATTTTCCTGGAGGGAATGAACAAGGAGTGTTCTTCACCGGGGCATCCGTTCCTGGTTTGCTTCCCAGAGCCTTTCCCTGTAGAGCTATTGACCTTCACTTTCTTCCAGGCACCATGGGACAAGTCACGGTCACTCAGCAAGAAGCACAAGTCACCTTACAGGACAGAGACAACTTCCAAACAACCTGTACATATCAGACCTCTGACTTTTATGGCTTGCTCTGGTACCAGCTGAAGAAAGGCCAAGCTCCCCAGCTCATCTCGTATCAGGCAGCACCTGGGTCCAGGCCCAGTGGCCGTTTCACCACGTTTCTGAACACCACGGGGAAATACAGCCTCCTGCAGCTGCAGGAAGCCCAGCTCTCTGACAGCGCCTTGTACCTCTGTGCTGTGCAAGACACGCTGGTGCAGGGAGCTTCCTTGGCTGTGCAACAACTCAAGGGAGGGAGGGGATGTGTCTCTGGTGCAAGGCTGAGCTTGGGGGAAGAGGCCCTCAGCACTTATCTGGTGGCAAGGCTTCTCCTGTGCACCCATGGAAATGCAGTCTACGATCCTGTGATGTGATGTTTTCTGTCCATTCCAGTCATCAATTTATGCAGGAGCAGTCTTAAATATTCCCATAAATGAGTGCATTGTCTTACTGCCAGTGCATGGTAAGCTCCACTGTCTGGTAAAATGCAAGCAGGACACACATGGGCCATTGCATTTACATATTGGCCATTTGGTCATCTTGATGACTATTAACAACCACAGTTACACAGTTACCCTGGCAGCAACTGGGTTTTTCTTGTCTTGAGATGGAGACACCTTAAAACTTGTTCCATTGTGGTATTTCTCTCTTGAACTTCAGCCGTGACAGTTACATGAAGAGTTAAGAGGGGAAAAAAAGTGAGAGAAACAATTCTTCAGACACAAGGTCAGTGAAAAAGCAGGGGAAGTAGATGCTCTAGGAGCCCGAGGAGAGATTCTTCTGCAGCTGTGGAAAAGACAATGATGATACACCTCATGCTGATGTTGTACCTTTTCCTTATCCTATCTATTAGTAATGACAATTAAAAAACCCCACAAAAATAGAAAGACAAGCTTGATCCAGGTAGCTCCCTGCATGGGGCATCCATGGGCCCCTCATTCCCCTGTGCTCTCAGAGGAGACAGGGCCAGCCTTAGCTTCACATCAGCAGCTGTCTCCTCTACCCCACCAGATCGTCATTCTAAGGAAACTCCAGGGACATTAAACATTCCAGCGTGAGCAGTTTGTTCTTTCCTGGCAGTCCAGTATTGTGAAATGTAATGTTTGGTATCATGTGTGTTGTGTCTGCTCACTCACAAATGAAAAAAATGTACCTAGAGTAACACTCTCTTCAGCACATCTTAGTTCCTGCCAGGGACCTATCTGTTTGTCAGGATCCCATGGGAAACTGCTCTGGAGTGCTGAGGTTCCCAGGAGAGGTGGCAACTTTCAAGCATAGCCTCCTCAGACCACAAGGTTCTCTGCAATGTGGTGGGAAACTAAAGTGGCCCTAACACACACTAAGAACATTTGTGCACACCCAGGTTTGCATGTGTACTACCACAGGAACACAGAGGTACGTGTGAATGAACATATGAGCACAGTCAAGTGAACATGAGCATAATCACATACACATACCACTGAGATCTAGGACTCCCCACACCAGCCTCTCTAGACAACTTCAGGCAAGACCTTCAGCTTCTGGAGTTAAGGCAATGAATGAGTCGCTGGCTAGTCCCACCAGCTTCAGTGAGCTCAGGGGTTTAGCAGTGATTCTGTCACTGTAAGATGGAGAGAAACATCAGTGGAGTCAAAGTTGTCATGGCCTTTCCACACATTAAATCTGCCCATGTTCCAAGACCTTGTGTGAAGGAAACTATAAAAATTAGAGAACATCCCCATTGCAACAGCCTCACAAAGAATTCCTACATTTTCAAGGTGTCGGGGCTTGACCCTGGCCGGCAGCCAGATGCCCACAGAGACACTCTCTCACCCTCCCTTCTCCACTAGACAGGGGGAGAAAATATATCAAAGGGCTTAAGGTTTGAGATAAGGACAGGGAGATCACTTTCATTTACCATTCCAGGCAAAACAGACTTGATTCTGGGGAAATTGGTTAGATTTATTAAAAGAACATATCAGAGAAGAGTAGTGAGAAATAAAAAAACCCAGATCTTAAAAGAAAAAAACACATTCCCTCCACCCTCCCTTCTTCCTGGGCTCAACATCAATCCTGGTTTCTCCACCTCCCACCCCCCAAGAAGCATAGGGGGACAGGGAACGGGGTTTATGGTCAGTTCATCTGATGTTGGTTCCACCACTTTTTTTTCACTCCAGAGGAGGACTCTTCACACTTCCCCAGGGTCATCGTGGTGCCCCTCTCATGGGAGACAGTCTTCACTGTAAGTCGTCTCACGAAGGGCAATTCAACACAAATTGCTCAATATGAGTCGCCTCATAAGGGGCAATCTGCCCCTCATGAATCTGAGGTGCAGTCCTTCAGGGGAAACTGCTCCACCATGAGTCCCTGACAGCGTAACAAAAGTCCCAGCAACCAACCTCCTCCAGCGTGGGCATTACTCTCTTCCACAAGACAGACTCTGGCAGGGACCTGCTCCAATGCAGGCTACAGCCTGCTTTAGGCATCCATCCACTCCAGCATGGGGTCCTCTGCCCCACAGTGGGCATCTACACCCTGCCCATGGGCTGCAGGGGGACAACCTACTTCATCATGGTCTTATGGTCTTCCCCACAGTCCAAGGGACTCTCTACTCTGGCACCTGGAGCATGTCAACCCCTTCTTCTTCACTGACCTTGGTGTCTAAGATTCTCAGTCCTCCATTTCTGTGCCAGCTGTTGTGGTACAGTTCTTTTTCCCTGTTTCTTAAATATGTTTTCACAGAGGCATTTTTCTCCTATCGTTTTACTGATAGTCTCAGCCTTGACCAGCAGCAGATCCCTCTTTGGAGCTGGCTGGCATTGTCTCTATCAGACTTGGGAAGCTTCTAGCAGCTTCTTGCAGAAGCCACCCCTACAGCCCCAGTCGCCACCGAAATCTGGACAGGCAAACCCAATACACAAGGAAAATATAGAAATATTCCTACAGTGTTAGAAGCTCCTGTCTGAGGGACCGCAGCCCATAAACAGGATACACGCTGGAGCAGCTTCTGAAGAACTGCACCCATGGGGAGGACTCATGCTGTAAAGTTTGTAAAGGAGCAGCAAAAGAGCACGAGGAGGAAGGAGTGGTACAGATGAAGCCTTATGAGCTGACTGCAACCCCCATTCCCCATCACAGCGCGTTGTTTTGGGGAAGTCATTTTGAGACAATTCTTTCACCAGTCCCTCAACCTTATTTTGTTAACATTCATTACTTTTTCTTACAGTAATGGGGCAGATCTCCATGAATCAGGGTTTCCTATGGCCCGGTATCCAGCAGAGCCATATCATATTGCTTGTTATGCTGGTTCCACAGCAGTACAACCAGAACATAAGGGCTGTGTTCACTCCCATTCATGATCGTGCTTGACCTTGTCCCAGTCCCTGCCCCCATGCTAAAGAGGGGAAGTCACTTCCCTGGGCTTATGTGCAGTGTGCTCAAAAGCCACTGCAGAGTTTCACACCCACCTGTTTCTCTATGGAGAAAGTTGTCCTTGTGCCCTCATCCCCTTACATCCCAGAGGAACTCCCTTCTTCAACAACTTTAGGAGTGTTCACGTATGGGATAACCACATGGAGGTCTGGCTTGAGAGCAGCAGAACTTTAATTAGTCAAAAGAAGGAGTCAATACCTCTCTGAATGGACGACAGGAGTGCAGGTAGCCCTGAGGGCAAGAGTCTGCAGTCCTTGGCAGTGGAGAAGTTCCTGCATGATGTCCATCCCCCTTCCCCCTAGAGGGAAAGGAGACGGGTGGTCCCCACCAGGCTGGATGTGGCAAAACCTTGTTGCTGAGGGGAACTGAAGCAAATAAATTAAAGGCAAAGGAAAGCAAAGGCATTCAGCTATACTGAAAACACATCCAAAATCTCAATCCTTTGTCCAACACAATGTTTGAGTTCCCTGAAGTGTCCCTGTGTGGCTTTCCCAGTGTCTTCATCAGCAGACGTACCTTCTGCCATAGTAGTGGCTGCCAATGCCAGAGAGGTCACAGCCCCCAGAGTTGAGGGGCATGCCCTCACAGCTCAGGATGCTGCCAACAGCAGCAGAAGCGGAGGAGCCCACAACTGAGTTCTGTGTGAAGGAGCTGAGGATGGGGCTGGACAGGGTCACCACCATGGAGGAGGGCTGGATGACAACGGTGGAGCTCTGGCACTGCCAGACACAGGGGTCATTGCAGCTGTTGGCCAGTGGAGTTGGGCCGCAGGGCTGGCAGGGCAGGCACAGGTCAGAGCAGGACATGTCTTGGTGCTGGAGGTGTACCTGGGAGAGAGGGCTGGGGGGAACGAAAGCAGAAGAATGGGTAAGGAGGTGCTATCACAACAGCCAAGGGGCCAGGCCTATACAATGAAAGGTGGATTGAAAGCTGTGCCTGAAGAGGCACATGGCCTTCACCTCCCTTTAAAGAGCAGCCACACTCAGGGAATCTGCCCCTAATTCATAAACCAAAAGCCCCCTCAGACACTTTCCAGCATCTCCCTAAGTAGATCTTCTCCCTGCTTTACTCACTCATGACAGGATGATCCAAAACCCAGGACAGAAAAGAGCAATATCAGCTGAGAGGCCCATCAAGCAAAGATCTCACTTTGGAAGAGGAGGAAAAAGGGTTAAATACTCACCTCATCTCCAAGGAGAAGGAGTCAAGAGAAGTGGATGAGAGAACAGAGACCATGGCTACCTTTTATACCTGTCTTTCAGGACCAGAGGCACCTTGGCAGAGGTAGCAACTTTCTGATGACCTCATTTTGAATGCAAACCAGCACAGCTGATTCTATGGGCTGTACTTTGCTTTCCTGAACAGCTGTCTTTTCATTTCCAGGTTTGTTTCATGCCCATTCTTTCATGAACAGTTCTTCTGAGTACTGGGATGAAAGGCCCCAGGATTTCTCAGACACAAATGCAGCAGTGCTGACAGCAGTGTCAATCCTGTGCTGGACACGTCTAGAGCAGGAACACAACATTAGCCTGCATCAGTCTGTTGGGACCGCTTGAAGTGCTCTTAATAGGAAGAAGTTCGACCATCCCTCAGCTTGATGCCATGGGCTCCTGGGCATGGGAGCACAATGGGCACAATGTCTGCAGGTAGCTTCTAACGCTATGTTTTGACACTGTGTTTCTCCAACACCCCTGCCCTCCTTGACCCCTGCATGCCCATGGCCACATCTGTTTTCACACTCTCTCTGCCTCTACACCGCTTCGAGGCGCTGTGCCGGGACTGCCGAGG